ATCAGTAATAGGACACACTTGTCACTTACTACTGCATGTAGTACTGCCACACTGCCATCCCTTTTTATACCAGTAAAATGAAAAGTCCCAGTTTGACTTGAATGCCCCTCGTATCTTTATTTCTTCTGCACTATCTGGATCACTCTGTTTTGTTTTACTAGTTTACCTGAAGAGCCTGTGCAAAATGTAACACTTAAAATCAGGGAGAGAGGCGTCAGCAAACAGGATGGTACTTACAATGAATGAAAAGTGTCACTTGTGCTGCTTAAAACGGACGCCTCTGGTCGAGTCAGGAGGCTTTGAAGCATCTGGACGTGGTAACACCACTCAAATGCATTATAGGCGTTTGTGGGGCGTTATTAACGCTCGGCAAACGCCTAGCAACCGCCACTTGTCATGTGGACTTAGCAGAAGTGCCAACTATGCTGTCCTTTCCGCACCTGTTTCATTAATTAAAAGCTGTACTATTAGTTTCCATAATGAAGAGTGTTCTATGAATGGAGGAGAGGGACCTCTCCAGGGGCGGACATTCCCCCGGCAGTAGGGGATCACACATCCCCTGTGTCCCATGCCCAAACTCATAGAAACTTTTTATTATGGGGCACCCCGGAACCTCGTATTTAGCTTTTAAATGGTAATGGCTTAGTCATAATTCCATTCAGTAGAACACTTTTTATATGGCATAATAGTAACTTTTATTAATGAAGGAGGCAGAGGCGAAAAAGGGTGGGCATAGTCAGCATTTTTGCCTGTCATAGGTCAGCGGCTCGTATCATTCTCAGCAGTACTGGAATATCACAGCTGAAGAAGTATCTGGGGGGCAGAGTAATGATGATTTAAAAGAAACTAGCAGCCAGTAACACAAGGGACACTTTTCATTCACTGTAAGTATCGTCCCTGAAGCTGATTTAAGAAAAAAAAAAAAAAAGTAATTCACTAAACTTAAAGTGTTCCTAAACCCAGGACACTGCATTCACCATAGCTGGTCTCCCACAGTACACAGAACATGGAAATGCAATTATTTTAGTAAATATAAACTGCTAAATACCTTTTCTCATCAGCAGTATATAGCAGTCTTGTGACTTCTTTCAGTGTCCAGCAGAGCACATGTTAAAGCTTGAAGGAGGAGTTTTATTTCTGCGCTAGGAGGATGCAGAACCCCTGACCCTCTGTCTGGACAGTGCTGATTGACCCTGGCCTGATCACATGCCCTCTCCCACGAAAAAAAAAACACTATCAATACACACCAAACTGAGCATGTGTCTTATCAGGAGATAAGAGGGGGACACTGGAAGAAGGGGAGGATCAGAGAGTCAGGATCAAACAGCTTTTTTACACAATGCAGATGATTAACCCCTTAAGTTCCACAGTGAGTATAACAAGCATGCTTTATTGCAAATACAGATTGATTTTACTGTTGTGGGTTTAGTAACACTTTAAGCTTTAATAAACTTGCATTTGCCAGCTGAAAAAGCATGTATTGTGATTGCTATTTATTGATTTATTTATTTTTGCCACAGTTTTGAAATGCTACATTTTCTGGAGAGTAGAACCTTAAAAGAAAGTATGTTATTTCTTTTTATATCAATTATTTCCCTAAGAAAGGATCTATGCATTGCAATAAAATGTGGATTTAATTGGTGCAAGCACATGATCTGCTATGGGAGCAATATTAGATTGTCAAACCACAATAAACATACCACTGTGGACTTTTCTGTTCCTGTACAGATCCCCATTCATATGACAGATGTCACAAAATCCATTGAGTGCTGTGAAAAAGGGGGCTACTTAAGCTAGGACTAAAAGAGGCCTCTGTTGAATTAACTTTGTAAACACATTTGTAAACACAATTAAAGCAGCCCATACATCCAGTGAGCTGGAAAAAAAAAGTCCAATTTGAATGTGGGGATTGGGGAATCGCTCCCGCTGAGTTTTTGTATTTTGACAGTGGGGAGACAGATACACCGATCAGTGCTGCCAGCTAGAGCCAGCCGCTGGCACTGATCGATCAAGAAAAAAAAACCCAACAGGCTGGTTGTACAGAAGTCGATCAGTAGATTAACTTCTGTACAACCAGCCTGCCCATATATGGATCGAAATTCGGCCAAATTTCCATCCATGATTGGGTGGCTTAAATGTCTTCACCTCTATCCAATTTGAATGTGGGGATCGGGGAATCACTCCCGCTGAGTTTTTGTATTTTGACAGTGGGGAGACCGATACACCGATCAGTGCTGCCAGCTAGAGCCAGCCGCTGGCCCTGATTGATCAAGAAAAAAACCCAACCAGCCTGCCCATATATGGATCGAAATTCGGCCAAATTTACATCCGTGATTGGTTGGCTTAAATGTCTTCACCTCTATGTACTGTATGTAGATGATTTAAAGTTTGTCTGACTTTGGACCAGTGGCATATGGCATGTGTCAGCATATTAATTTGTGCTTGCAATGAACGAAAAAAAAAAAAAAAAATGCTAATCCCAATGTGATCTAACTCAAAGGCAACGTACATTGCCTAGTCTGTGGCTACGAGTAGCATAATGGGTTTTTTATGTCATTAGAAAGTGAATAAAGTCTATTGTTTCCAATTAGAAGGCTCTTTTTAAAATTCTTGCAGAAAGGTAAGAGGATTAACACACAGCAATGTAGAGCTATACTAAGCAGTAAACAGAGCCTACATATGTAGTGAACAAATATCATTGCCCCAAGTATATACAGCAATAGCAGCACAGTGGCTACATGGTTAGCACTTCCACCTGGCAGTACTAGGGTTGTTGGTTTGAATCTCAACCATGGCACCACCTGCCTGGAGTTTGCATGTTCTCCCTGTGCCTGTGTGGGTTTCCTCCCATGCTCCAAAGATATGCTGGTAGGTTAATTGGATCCTGTCTAAACTGGCCCTAGTATGTGTATGTATAAAAGATTGTATGCCTTTGAGGGTTAGGGACTGATGTGAATGTACGATATATATGTAAATTGATAGAGCTATATAAGTACCTTAAATAAAAATAAATAATGCAGTGCATAATATATATACAGACACACAAAATGTAATAGATTTAGTTCATCTATTTTATAATTTTCTTTTCTAAAATCAGATAAAAATAACATAACTCACATGCATTTGAATTTTTATCTTACAGTTATTTCCACCTTTGGAGCTTCCTGTTTTAGTTGTCCCCTGGCCACGCCACTATATTACCTTTCACCCTGTGCCCCCAGGGACCTATGGAGTCCTGTGTGAGTCTTTGCAATGTGTGTGCTCCCCTTCTGTACTATCCACTTCAGCCTCGGAAGATTTACCCCCCTTCCTGACCAGGCCATTTTTTGCCATACAGCGCTGCATTACTTTATCTGATAATTGCGCGGTCATGCAACACTATACATAAAGTCCTTTTTGTCTCACAAATAGAGCTTTATTTTGGTGGTATTTGATCACCTCTGCGGTTTTTATTTTTTGCGTTTATATAACAAAAAAAGCAACAATTTTGAAAAAAAAACACAATATTGTTTATTTTCTACTATAAAACATATCCCAAAAAATTTTAAAAATCTAATTTCTATAGAAATTTAAGCCAAAATGTATTCTGCTACATATTTTTGGTACAAAAAAAAAATCACAATATGCGTATATTTATTCGTTTGCACAAAAGTTATAGCATCTACAAACTATGGGACATATACTGGAATTTTTTTTTAATACTAGTAATGGCGGAGATAAGTGACTTACAGCGGGACTGCGATATTGTGGCGGGATATTTTTACACTAACTGACACTTTGTGGGAACTGGGTGACACTAATACAGTGATCAATGCTAAAAATGTACACTGATCACTGTACTAATGACACTGGTTCGGAAGGGATTAACATCTAGGGTGATAAAAGGGTTGTGCGTGCTTAGCTATGTGCTCGATGTACACTAGGTGGTGCTGGTACAAGAGGAAGTGATGGATTGTGTTCCCAGCTCTGCAGGGACACACAATTGATCACCCTTCCCTTTCCCAACAGAGCTCTACCTATGTAAACTTAGGCAGGGTTCTCTTTTTGCACCTTGCCAAATGATCTGCTGGTGCTGACGAAGATCTGTTCACCGGGACTCGCAGATCGGCTTCTGCTGTGACAGTCCACAGCAGAAATGATCTGCCAGCAGCACGTGCACGCCCCCGTAAGGCGGAAGTGCACATTCACATATATATTATATAAACGATTTTGCACTGGAGGGCTGCCCTGTAGCAGTAAAACTGCTATAGGGCAGATGCAAGTGGCTATAATTATATGTGCAGCTGTTCAGAGCACCACACACACAGCCAGTGCAAGAGAGACAAAGAACAAAATCTACACCTTCTCTCCCCCTCCACAGCAGTGATTGATAGCAACTCTATATCCTTCTTTTGCTGGCTATGCGTGCAGTCCTCTGAAAAGCTGCACGTACAGTTGTAGTACAGTGCAGAAGTATTCACATTGCAGAGATTCACACAGGACTCCATAGGTCGTGGCAGAACAGGAAGAAAAATAATACAGCAGTGCGGTTGGGGGACAATTGAGAACGAAAGCTTCAAGAAAAAAATTTAAAAAAAAAAATTACCACTTGAGCCTCAGCAACATACCCATACATCACCAGATTGAAGTGGTCTTTTTTTTTTCAGCTGGCGATGGGTTTTAAAGTGTTACTGAACCCACAACAGTAAAATCAGTCTGAATAGGCAGTAAAGTATACGTATACTCACTGTGGAACCTAAGGGGTTAATCCTCCGCTTTGTGTAAAAAGGCTGTTTGATTCTGTCTTCTCTGATCCTCCCCTTCTTCTACTGTCCCCGATCCTTCTACTGAGCTCTAGGAGTCCCTCTGCACATGCTCAGTATAGAGTGTATGGCTAGGGGTTATGCACCCTTATAAGACAGTTAGAGGCAGGGGCGGACTGACCATTTGGAAACTCGGGCACTGCCCGAGGGCCCGGGGTCAGTAGGGGGGCCCCATGAGATGCCCCTGGTACCTTTTTCATAGGCTTTTTTGAGTTTGGGCATGGACACAGGGGCCCCATGATCCCCTATTGCCCGGGGGCCCCATGAGTTGTCAGTCCGCCCCTCGTTAGAGGAGAATGAAAGCTCCTCCTACAAGCTTTACCAGTATTCAGTTGGACACTGATAGAAGTCTGCTCTAACTGCTGATGAGAAAAGGTACTTAGCTGTTTATATTTACTGAAATAATTGCATTTCCATGTGTGTTCTGTGGGAGACCAGATATACTGAATGCAAGGTCCTCGGTTTTACAGGTGGTTCCCCCTCCCCCAGGCTGCCTTCTGGCAACTTTCCAGACTCTTCTGTTCCACCAGGGAGCCTGGGACTGAAGCCGGTAGTTCTGTTGGCTTACCATAGAGACGATCAAGGACCAGAATGTCCATGATCATCTCTATGGTAGTTTGTCACTGGTTTCATCATTACTGGCTTATGAAAGCATCTGATCAAACCGATCTTGGTTTGATCAGATGCTTATAAGGATCACTCCATAAAGAAGATCTGTCCCTACTCCAGCTATTGCAAAGGATGTTGTTCATCCTTTGTGATAGCCATAAAAGTGATTTTAAAAATTAAAGAGCCATTGTAAAAGTAAAAAAATGTAAATAAAATTAAAAAAAAGTAAAGCACTCCTGTCCCACCGCACTTGCGCACAAAGGTGAACGCATACTTTGGCCACACATACAGATGTCATCAGTGTTCACACCACACACGTGAGGCATCGTCATGAACGTTATAGCGAGAGCAGTAATTCTAGCACCAGACCTCCTGTATAACACTAAACTTGTAACCTGTAAAGGCTTATAAACTTCGCTTATGGAGATTTTGTAAGTACTGTAGTTTGGCGCCGTTTCATGAACATGTGCAATTTTAAAGTGTGACGTTAGGTATCTATTTACTCGGTGTAACATCTTTTATGTTTTACCAAACAATTGGTTATTATATTATGTTTTGTGCATTAAAATTCACTAAAGTGTATTTTTTCCCAAAAAAGGAAGGGGGGGGGGGTAAATCCTCTGGAGGGCAAGTGGTTAAGAAATATGCAGGAACCATTTTGGGCTGACAACACCATTGATGATATCAGTAGCGCATTCAAACAATCAGAAAAAGGAAAATGCAAAAGGTTATATTTGGAGCCGTGCTAAAATTGTCTACATAGAATAGCAAAGTTATTTTAGAAGTGTACTGACTGTTCAAAGTAAATCTGTCTCTTGGTGGTGGTGTACAGAGAACTGATACCCTGCACAAGCACTTTCTTCCTGACAAAATCAGCAGTGATAATCAGATTGCTGCCACCTTTTATTTAGTCCTCATTTAGAACTGTGGTAGTGTTTGCGACCCGTCTGAAAAAGCGATCCACAGTGGATCATGTATAGAGGGATTTGACAAGTGGATTGGAGGCGATATGCTAACCATTGAAAGCCTGCAGCACTGTGCTGCACCCGCACTGTTGCAAAGTAGTTTTGATACAGTCGCATGCACTTAAATGGGTCACATTTGGTGGCATTTCATCTGCAAATGCAACAGGTAGTATAATTTTCACTGTACTCCAACCATCTTTTTTTTTAATTCTTTAAAGTGTTACTAAACCCACAACAGTAAAATCAGTCTGTATATGCAGTAAAGCATGCTTGTTATACTCATTGTGGAACCTAAGGGGTTAATCCTCTGCATTGTGTAAAAGGATGTTTGATCCTGACTTCTCTGATCCTCCCCTTCTTCCAGTGTCCCCCTCTTATCTCCTGATAAGACATATCGTGTGAAGTCACTCTGCACATGCTCAGCTTGGTGTGTATTGCTAGAGAGGGTTTTTTTTTGTCTTGGGAGAGTGCATGTGATCAGCACAGGGCCAATCAGCACTGTCCATACAGAGGTCAGAGGTTCTGCATCCTCCTAGAACAGAATGAAAACTCCTCTTACAAGCTTTAACTAGTGCTCTGCTGGACACTGATAGAAGTCACAAGACTGCTCTAAGTGCTGATGAGAAAAACAGTATTAAGCAGTTTATATTTACTAAAATAATTGCATTTCCATGCTCTGTGTACTGTAGGAGAACAGATATAGTGAATGCAGGGTCCTGGGTTTATTAACACTTTATAGCGACAACAGTAACATCAGGCATGACAATGTAGATGGACAACTAATACAAAAGACCCTATGATATAATTAATAGGAAATATACAAAAGTCATAGAATATCTTGTAGAACAATCAGGTCAGGAGGTAATTGTCAAGACTGGAACAATGACGATTTGTCCAGAATGGAAAAATGTGTTGCTAGCGGGTGGACACAAGGTATCCCTCCAATTTTTTGGTATAATATGAAGACATAAAATTGGTCCCTAGTATGTGTATGTATGAATGTGAGTTAGGGACTTTAGATTGTACGCTCCTTGAGGGTTAGGGACTGATGTGAGTGTACAATATATGTATGTAAAGCGCTGCGCAAATTGACGGGGCTCTGCTATATAAGTACCTGAAATAAATAAATAAGACAGATAAAGAGGGAAAGAAAGGGAAGAAAAGAGTTGAAAAAAAGGGGGAAGGAAAGGGTGAGGATGGGGGAAGAGAGTTCCTTACCTGTTGAATACCAGCCTACGCAGAGCAAGATTCCATTAGTTCTTTGTATCTATTTGAGAAGATAAATTAAGTCCAATAAAACCACATCCTTAAAAACAGGCATCTTGAGTGAGTTCCTCTCAGAGGATCAGACTTGACCCATTGACTCACTGTAGGGGGCAAGGAGGACTTCCAGTGAATTGGGATACATGCGCTGTCAGCATTGAAATCATCTGTTTATAATACACCTTGGCCTACCATGTAAACAAGGTCTTAAAAATGGAACTAGACTCATCCCTATACTGCCGTCTGCCCGCTGATCCAGCAATGTAACATGCAGAAGCTCCCTTACTGGTGAAGACATTTATCCCGGCACCCAGCAGATACCAGCATTGTACACTGTACATGGGCTGCTCAATGTACAATGTAAAGAAGATTATGAGGAAGAAGGTCCACAATTTTTCAGTTTTGCAGACCACAGCTTTGCTTTAAAGCCTAAGTGTAACTAAAATAAAAAACAGAAAAATCAGCTGAAAAGACATAAGTTGCAGTCCATAGGGTGTGTCCCTTGTGCAGATTTCTCTTCTGTGAGTAGAAAGTCTTCCATCCATGCCCCAGCCCTGCAGCCATCATTTTCCGGAGCAGCAAGGGGCTGTCACAACCACTAGATCAAGGTCAATTCTCCTCTGTTCATAAAGTATATCATTCAAAAAACCTGTAGTTCAGATTCTGTGCATATTTGAATGGCAGAGGCAGGCAGAAGGGATGGATGAGAGCTTGATGAGAGCTCGTGGCAGCCCCTTAGATGTATTAACCCTTGATGTCTTGGAAGATTATGGCCACGGGGGGCATGGACAGAGGGTGATTATCAGAAGAGGAATTAGCACAAGGGGACATCCTACTGACTGTAGGTTATGTCCCTTGTGCTGATTTTTTTTTTAATTTCAGCTACACTTAGACTTTAAGGACACCTGTCATGAGAAAAACACAAGTGTTTTAATCATGGACTCACCTTCTGAAAATGCTGGCTGCCTTGCTGTCATACTGACCCCTTTTTGCCAATACCTCAGTCCAGTGGTCTCCAAACTGTGGTTACCTTTGGTCCAGTGGTCTCCAAACTTTGCTTACCTTTGTCTGGCCCTTGAGGCACTATTCCTCCCACTGACACCAATGCCAGGGCACTATTCCTCCCACTGACACCAATGACGGAGCACTATTCCTTTCACTGACACAAACAATGAGGCACTATCACTCCTTCTACTGACCACATGTGCTGTCTAATTTTTTAAATCCTGCTGACCATCAACTCTGAGACATTGTGGACTCCCGCTGTTACTGGGGCATTTTCTACTCCCACAGTCCGGCCCTCCTAAAGTACACTGTCCCCTTGTTTACGAAGTTTGGAGACCCCTGCCTTAGTCACTAATCCATTATACACTATATTGCCAAAAGTATTGGGACGCCTGCCTTTACACACACATGAACTTTAATTGCATCCCAATCTTAGTCTGTAGTGTTCAATATTGAGTTGGCCCACCCATTGCAGCTATAACAGCTTCAACTCTTCTGGGAAGGCTGTCCACAAGGTTTAGGAGTGTGTCTATGGGAATGTTTGATCATTCTTCCAGAAGCGCATTTGTAAGGTCAGGCACTGGTGTAAGATGAAAATGCCTGGCTCTCAGTCTCCACTCTAACGTATCCCAAAGGTGTTCTATGGGGTTGAGGTCAGGACTCTGTGCAGGCCAGTCAAGTTCCTCCACCCCAAACTCGCTCATCCATGTCTTTATGAACCTTGCTTTGTGCACTGGTACGCAGTCATGTTGGAACAGGAAGGGGCCATCCCCAAACTGTTCCCACAAATTTGAGAGCATGAAATTGTCCAAAATGTCTTGGTATGCTGATGCCTTTAGAGTTCCCTTCATTGGAACTAAGGGGCCAAGCCCGACCTCTGAAAAACAACCCCACACCATAATCCCCCCTCCACCAAACTGTACACTTGGCACAAAGCAGTCAGGCAAGTGCTGGCAAGCATCAAACCCAGACACGTCCATCAGATTTCCAGACAGAGAAGCATGATTCGTCACTCTAAAGAACACATCTCCACTGCTCTAGAGTCCAGTAGCGGAATGCTTTACACCACTGCATCCAACGTTTGCATTGCACTTGGTGATATAAGGCTTGGATGCAGCTGCTCGGCCATGGAAATTTTCCATGAAGCTCTCTACACACTGTTGTTGTGCTAATCTGAAGGCCACATGAAATTTGGAGGCCTTTAGCTATTGACTCTGCAGACAGTTGGCGACTTCTGCGTGCTGGGCGCTTCAGCATGCGCTGACCCCACTCTGTCTCAGTTTACATGGCCTACCACTTTGTGGCTGAGTTGCTGTTGTTCCCAGTTGCTTCCACTTTGTTATAATACCACTTCCAGTTGACCGTGGAATATTTAGTAGCAAGGACATTTCATGGATGGACTTATTGCACAAGTGGCAACCTATCACGGTACCACACTTGAATTTATTGAGCTCCTGAGAGCGACCCATTCTTTCACAAATGTTTGTAGAAGCAGGCTGCATGCCTGGAAGTGATTGGAACACCTGCATTCAATGATTTGGAGGAGTGTCGCAATACTTTTCACAATATAGTGTAAGTATGTTTTTTCTCTAATCTTTTTCACAAATTTTCAAGGTCAGTAATGCAGAGAATATAGAATCCAGGATGTCTAGCGTTTTCGGAGAAAGGTCAGCAGTGGCAGCTCCCACATTTCTCCCATGAGAGATTTACTTTAAGGACCCCGGACTTCACTGCATAGTACTCTTTCACATGGTCAGGAATTGGGTTCTCTTATTAGTGATACTGTTTAATGGGGAGTTCAAACTCAGCTTCTGACTCTATACATTTGCATGTACTATGTTATGATAAAAAAAAGTGACAACAGCATTATAGTAATTTTTTTTCCAGACAAATATATTTCCATGTATCGTAATAAAAGGTTTTCTTTTATGCTGAAACAGAATCATTTGAATGCATACAAGATACAGAGGCCATGCTATGTCCCCAATAGAAACTATGAATTGAAATGTCAGTGTCGAATTTGATTACAACAGTTTACCAAGACTAACATAACAATTATTACTATTGCATTTCATTCCCCATGCAAAATAATTATATGGTATTCTTACCATGCATAGCAAATTTTAACTGCAGAGAACAGACATGGATTGGTTGGAGGTTGTAAACTGTACAATGCTGCCATCTGCTGGTGATGTTACATTAAACCAGCGGCGTTTTTTCAATACACATAAAAAACAATTCTAGTTTTACTCAAATAATAGTTCTCTGCTGCATATGTACTGCAATGTTATATTGTGGTTTTGATTATGGTTCACAAGTTGTACATCGTAAAAAGATAATCATTGAATGGCTTCTTTGAAACAGGGAAACTGTAGTAAACATCCCTTATTTTTAAAAATAATGTTGTACGTTGTGAAATCACTTGATTTAGGGATCAGGGTGAATCTTAAAGCCTCAGGTCCTGGAAAAAAGATCAGGAACCAATATGTCTGGTTCCAGATTAAGTGTTTAGTATAATTAGTCAAACATGGGGATCACAGTAAAATCTGTTACGGATTAAAATAAATACACCTAGAAATGGCTGGCCTTGGTCTTTGGGTGGCCATGAAAATATTCTACTGGGAAGGACAGACAGGGAGACATCTGTTTGTCTAATGGCTCACTGATTTTTTTTCTAGTTTGTCTAGTACAGTGGTCCTCAACCACCGGGCAATAGCCTGCTGCCGGGCCACGGCCTCCTTCTTCCCTGGTCTACAGCCAGCTCAGATCCCTTAACCATAGTGCCTTCTAGCTCCCATAGTGCCATCGACCTCCCATAATTGCTTTGAGTTCCCTGCAACCACCCACTGTGCCCTCAGGCCCCCTGAGAGCCCTTAGCCCCCCAACCTTCCACAGTGCCCTCCATTTTACCACAATATCCCCAGCCTGCTGCAGAGCTTCCAGCACACCATAGTGCCCCCAACCTTTACATGCATCCCACCATTCATCCAAACTTCCCACAGTGCTTCCTAGCTCCTGCAATGCCCTCCAGTCTCCCACAGTGCCCCTACAAAGCCAGACTCTTGAAGAGACTGTAGCCCCCTCCTGAAACCTCATCCTCTACAACATGGTTACCAAGTCAGCTGCAGAGCACCCTAACCCCCTCCAGAACCCCTCAATCCTCCCACACACACAGTGACACTCAGGGGTGGACTGACAACTCAT